GGGGCGGGGCAGGTTGTAGTCTTCGCGGGTGTGCGCGGGTGTGCCCCGCAACCGCACCGCCCCGCACCGTTTGCCATCCCTAAATTTATAGGAACAACATATTGTTATTTTTTCCCCAACTGAGGAGGATGTATATTGTTTCCACACTTCCCCTCCAGCGTCACTCGAACCCAGAACTTAACGATCGTGGGTGGAAGTGCTTTACCAACTGAGCAAGCCTCACTTGTTGACAACATATTATTAATTGTTGGTTGACAACAACTTTGTTTGTCATGATCAGGTAGAGTTTGTGCTAAAGCACAACAAGGACCTTTCTCCATTTCTAAGGAAATGCACAACTCTACAACTTAGTCCAGACTTCTTTATCCCTCAAGACATGGCCGACGATGACATGGCGAACGAGACAGCTCATTCAACGGTCGTGGACAACGACGAGCCCTGGGGCTCGTCGTCGTCGGGCTCGGGTTCAGAGAACATGAGCTTTCCCTGCACTGAGTTTGTAAGGAAGAAGAGAAGTGGAATGCATGTATGTGGAAGAACAGCTAATAATTATAAGGATATTACAGAGGAGGACATGGCTACTAGTATGAGTAGAAGAAAAGGCATTCCTCAAAGATCTCCATTGTGTTAGGGTTTAGTAGTATATTAACTTGGTTTCAAATATTAGTTGTTTTGTCAACCTAAATTTGTTTTAAAATAATATTACTTCTTTTTCTTCAAATCTCCTTATTATTTGAATAAATGAAGTTTTAATCAAGTGAGACGTTTAAGAAGAAATAAAGGATAATTTAGACAATCATCATGCCTATTGCGAGACTCAAGTAATGGGCTGGGAATGGTTTCATGGGGTCGGAGTCAGTGGCGGAGGCAGGATCTCCACGAAAGGGGTTCAAAAAAAAAAATTTGTATCTAGTGAGAAATGAACTCATGACCTTATATAGATTTTGAACCTCCTTGACCACTAAACTACACTTTTAGATTGTGTTAAAGGGGGTTCAAAACTTAATATATAGAGGTAAAAAACAGATTTTGCCTTATAT